CTTTGTGAGTTCGCTTTTGGCCCATAGAACACACTAGAAGCATCATGTAGAAATTAAATATTGCTAAATGATTAAATCAAACATTAGAACTAATGGTATTATGTTCTTCTCAGTTCTTTATACCATGTGTCACTTTCTCCAGTTGGTCCACTCTGCCTGTCAGGTTGCTGATCTGCTCCTCATGTTGATCTACTTTTGCCTGCATCTCTTTCAGTTTGTTGACTTCAGGGCCCAGGTTCTCCAGGAGATCTTTGTTTTGGTCCAGGAAGTCCAGGAGACTCTTCATGTCCTTAACATAAAGTCATGTTTAAGAACAAACATGATGCAGTTCACACTTAAATGCTTAACCGTTTAGTGTTGATCTACTGTACTTACTTTGACATTTTCATCTTGGTTCCCCTCAAAGCGTGAGAAAAAGTCTTCAATCCTGTCTTTAATGGCTTGCTGCTCACGGTCCAGAACTTTCTGGAAGTCTTTCATGGTCTGGAGATCTTTCAGTTGGCCATCTACCTCACACGGGGCTTGATTGAAATTCTTGTCCAAGGTGTTATGAAACTATACAGAAAATTGAAAAACGTTCCCGTAAGTACTGAATTTAATAATAAATAATACAATTATATTGTAGAGCAACATTATCCTAATCGCTATTGATGATAATAAAAATAATAATAACTTCCATAATAACCAGGTCTTACAATTAATAATAATAATAGTAATTTTCCATCCACCTGTGTTATCTTCTTTTCCAAGTCTTTCATTTCTGGGACATGAGGTTGGAGCTTCTCAGCCAACTGCAGGACTGTTTTGTGATGATTTTTCATGTCCTCATTGCTGACTTTGAAGTCAGGCGAATGCATCAATTTGTTCCGTACAGTTATTACCTGAATTGTTAAAAAAAAGTGTGAAATGTGTTATCCAGCCCAACATGAGAGCTACAATATTTGACTATCCATACCGATACGGTGGTCACATACTATTGCACGAAGCTTTTGAGAAGTTTTATCACAAATATAGAGGTTCTGAATGATGTAATCCAATGAAAAATTGGATTTTCAGAATACTTACGTTAATCACAGATTGTCCTGGGATGCTCTTGAAATGTTTACAGGAACTCATTAAGTTCAGGATGGCAGCAATATCAAACTGGTCAAACTTGCGATGTTCTTTGTGCCCACGTGGCATATGTGCCTGTCATAAGAAATATGTGAAACATGCAGTTAACAAAGTTAAAAATATAATGCACATAGATATTTGATCGCTGACATTTCTAAATATAAGCCTCCCCATATGCAACAAGACATTTTAACAGACAGCACTCAGAGGCAACACTCTATTAATGCAGTAGTTATTAATTATGAAAGCAACTTACTTTGGCAACTTCCCACTTATCTGTGGGCCATAGATGTGGCCGGCAGTTCTCCCAGTGTATACTATTACCCTTCCCATTATGATTGGCAATGATTTCATTCTTCCAGTGTTCACACAACTGGCAGACAGGCTGCGGGAAGAAGCAAAACACAGTTTGAGAGACATGTGCAGACACTCCCAGAAACTTTGATTTGAACTGACAGTCTTTTACACTTTTTAGTGTACTGCCATATTTCCATTTGTGTTGATACTCTTTTTATTTAATATGGCAATGGCATTACTATTATTCTAAATTTGTTGTGTTAAGTAGGAATAATAGCATTCAGTAGGCCTATGTAGAAATGTAGCATAAATATATTCTGTCTGTATGACAGGCAGACAGATAGATTACACTGTATTTCTACATTGTCTACATTTATACATTTTATACAGTAGCCTACTACGTTGGGATCATTTAAAAAGTGATTTTTAATGACGGCTATTCCTATTGTTTACTTTGACTTTACATTTTTGCCTAATTTACCTTATTCGCAAGTTTGCACGATCGCGCACAGGTCTGTCTATGGAGAGGAGATTTGTTTTGAAGAGAGTTGTGATAAGTTTCGGTTTCCTTTTCTATGAAGTCCTGAATGCGGTTCCTCAGTATGTAAAGACTCTCCGTTGTTTTCAGCCAGTTTTTGTAGTTTTCATCACTGAAGCGACAGTAAGACTGTGTGCTGCTCATGATCGCTAAATAAAACCGCAGGGATCGATCATTCTTTAGTTACAGTAGCGCTGCGGTGCGATGTGCCTGACTGTCCTCAGCAGGTCAGCCGACTCCTGAAGTTGCCAGATAATCGAAAAATGTACATCGCGCATTAATAAAGCAAAAGAAAATAATAACGTCTTTGTTGATATTCTTCAGTACCATGGTAACCGTATTTCATAAAGTCAAATGGAATATCCTTAATATTAGTATTATAAATGTCGCATTAAAACGATCTCGTAAACATTTCCTCATTGTTTATGTTTGCTGCTTTAAAAATATGTCGTCCCAGATCCAGAATTGATCTTAAAATCTAAAGATATTCAATAGGAATATTCATTATTACGTTTTTATTATTATATACAGAGAGTGGAACAAATAAGAACTATTAAAATGTATGTATTTATTTATGCATTCATTCAAAAGTTAGTGTAGGCCTACTTGTTTACAGTTGTGTCAGTGAAGAGACCGCAAATGAAATATGAGACGTGATATTTGAATAAACAAGAAAAAATCAAGGTAAATATCACTTGCAATAATTTAAGGTAAAATATAATAAAAAAATGGAGCAACAGTTCATAAATAGATGAACATAAAAGAGCTGTTAGTCAATATCGCCAACTAGTGGAGATCAGAATCAGAATGAGCCTTTATTGCCAGAAAGATTTGTTTTGGTGACCGAAGTTTCAACTACAGAAATACAAGAAAATAAAAAACATATCGGTCAAAAAAAATTATATATGTATATATATATATATATATATATATATATATATTTTTTTTTTTTACACAAGAAAAAAAGTCTTAA